AACATATACTTCTATAATTTATAGTTCTGTGGTAAATATAAAAATACTTTTCTTAATTGTTATAATAGGAAGTTTGTATCTTCCGGTGCTGGATTACTTCTAAAAATAAATTGACATAACCACAAAAAACAGAAGTGTGCTCGTGTGTACATATTTTATTGTAGTTTTTATTTAATTAAAAATGTAATTAAAAGTTAAGTGATTATTTAACAAATATTTAACTGCTATAGTATTTTATCTAAATGCGTAAACAAATAGTGAGTACTAAATGAGCTAGAATATCGGTAAATCACAAAAGGATATTAAGCAATATAAAATATAGTGTGTTTAACCTAAAAAGGTAAAGTGCAACTTTAAAATCTTCTAAACTATAATTTATATAGAATTACTACTTAACTCTGAAAAATGTGCTCCCTAAAGTAATTCTTCTTATATTGGGCCCCATGGCTTATCCTTCGTTGATTTTGAGCTTGTATTCGTAGTTGTGATGTTGACTGCCAGCTATCTCCCTCCCTGTTAAAGAGTCTTCCTGGTTGTCAGCGATCGCTTATTCAGTCGTTTAGTATTTTTCCAGCTATTGACTTAAACGTTCTTTTTGAACGCTGTTGTGATGTTCTCAATATTCTCTTTATTTCCACTGTGTTAGGCCTTGTTTTTATCGCGAAAGTTATCGATCTTACATACGATTTATATATACGTACTTTCCTTCCAGACTCATGTCTTCATTTCTCCAAATTACATTCCTCATGCATCCTGACAAGTAAACCGCTTTGTTTGCCTCCTGTCGGACGTTCTCTTTAAGATCTTCATGGTTAGATAGTTCTACTCCAATATATTGGAGTCTCGAGACTTGTTCAATTATTTCATAGTTAATTACTATTTTTGCATCTTCTGGAATCCTTTGCCAGGAATTTGGTCTTAGATGTTGATGTCTTCATGCCGTAATTCTTTGCCACTGTATTGAATGCTTGTGCCATGCGCTGTAGGTTATTCTCATTATCGGAGAATAAAATTCGTCTGCATAGCAGAGGATTTTATTTGTTTTTCTTTCATCTTATATTCTTTTTTGTACTTTTAATTCCTCTGATTTTTAATCTCTGATTTTGTCTATTAATAAATTAAAAATTAATGGCTGAATCTATGTCCTTGACGAATTCCCAAGCCGATTTCTAATTTCTACTTCTCCAGTGCATTTGAGTACACTGTAGTTACTTTGTTCTCACAGTTCACTTTAACCAACAGATATAAATTATCCAGTACTAATTATTCTGTGACGAGACTAGTAAAGCCATTCCTTAAATGGACCTGGCATAGTACTTTCCCTTTTGTTCTTATATCAATTACCTTACTGTATGGAATTGGGCTGTAATTTTACAGTCAGAGTGCTACACAAGGAGTAAATAATTGTAAGCAGGTATTCAAATAGTGTAAAAACTTGTAATAAAGTGTAAACACAAAATTCCATTTTAAATTAATAACAATTTTTTAATAAACAAATGATTTTAGGACATTTGAAATTGTAATATCTTTTACCCTTTTAGCCCCACGTTTGTTACTTAAATAAACATAGTTAAAATCTTAATTTCTGAGCTTTTTTGTATGCAATTAGGTTACGCAAACAGGTTTGCATACGATTTTTTCTTAACTTTGACATTAAAAGATGGGACATATGTGTCCCATTGGTATTGTTAACTGGCACATATATATCCCAGTGGTATCGTATGAAAAAAAGTCACAAATGTTCTTAAACATTTATTTGGGAGCATTTCGCACAACGTCGGCATCTTCCACCATCTACTGGCAGATGTTCACCTACTTTTGACATGCCTCTTAGACGACCGCTCCGTTGACCTTCTTCTTATGTGAACTTTGACGTAGCCTTTCCAAACTGAATCAGCTCTGCAGCTAGAGCTATTAATAATTCAAGGAAAGGTATTTTTTCCTATGAAGATCGTTGTAGATTACCAAACTGTTTACAGCAGCAACCATAACCAGTCTAAAAATCTTTTTCCACCATTTACGCGATCTGCGATCCATGTCATATAAACCTGCAATTGGGTCCGCTAAATCCACTCCTCCCATAAAATTGTTGTAGAAGTCCGTCTTTCTTCTTAACATACACATTTATGCCATGATTATGTGTAACTAAATTTGTAATACTCTCCCTAGAGGAATCAGTTCTACATTTTTAAAAAGTATGCTTCAAAAATTTACAATTTCGTCTACGTAATACGTCTTGAAAGAATTTTATTTTTCTGGATCATTCATGTGTATTTTGGATACTAATAATGTAAATATATTGCTAGAAATACTACAAATTTTTAAAGATCTCGCTTATGTTACCTTTATTTATGTTTTTTATCAAGGAATAATTAACTTTGGAACTTTGTTTATCAACTTGAACTTATCAGTAAACAGAACGATTGTTTCATGCCAAAACAATTACAAAAAAGATACTGAGATATGGGTTAAATGCCTTCTATGAACTTTTCTTCTCTATTTTCTCCCACTACAGAAAGTTTATATTTAATTAATTACTGCGTATATACTTATGTGTATAATTAAATTAACAAACAATGTCTAATATATCCATCCATTAATCCATTTATTTTTTTTTCACACTGATCATTGAGACCAGATTTTAAAATTCAGCAATGACAAAAATTTTGACATTTTGACAGACTGCTGCAGCTCTGTTTGAAGTGTATGAGCTTGAATATCAAGTAGTCTATTTAAAATTCATTTTACAACACAATTTAGTAAATAAATTTTAAGAAAAAGAAAAAATAAGAATTGTTTGTTGAATTTGGAAATTTATTGTTTGTATTATACGAGTATAGCACAATAATGTAGGGATATTAATACAATTTAGGATTCAACGTTCAAAGAATAACTGAATAAGATATATGTTATTAGTTCATGCCTTTTTCAGTCCTCTGTTTTTCCAGTGCATAGATCTAACTCTACGTGACAAACCCTAGATACGGTAGCAACTTCAGTACATTAAGAGAAAGCATTGCCTGAAGAAATGCATTCGCACACGAAATATTTTAGAAGTCACTAGTTGCCAAAGGCTTTTTCTGTGTTTTCCACAACGTGAAAAGTGTCTTATTTTAATCACTAACCCACCAATATTTTTTTAATTTACTAATCTGCTAAATTTTCCAACGCAAGCATAAGAATCATCGGGTTGTGGTTTAAATAAATATTGAATAAAATCTAAAAACTTCAGTTGGGTAACAATGTTCGTAATTATAGATTCACGCATATCAATAAGAATACAATCCTGTAATTTAAATTTCTTACCTTCTGGAAGTAGAACTATGTCAGTTTCTATTTCATTATCTTCAAAGAATATTCTTTTCCCTCTTCATCCTCTAGCTTGTTAAGCAAGTAACATAGTCACAAAGCTACGGCTTTGTGAATTCATAATATTGAAGATGGTAGGCAGAGTTTAAATTAATAGGCTTTGATGCTCACCGAAATACATGTTGTATTTTGAAATTTCTTGCAGTACAACCCAATGCAGTGTATGATCGAACCATTTTTATACAATTATTCTAAACTACTATCTCAAAGATTAACCAATATGTAGTACAAAAACTATGTCTTATCTAATTATGATTTAAAATACACTCGTATAAGTATAAATGATTATTTTTTTAAACTTTAAAAAACCACAAACAAAATTTTATGTAAACATCACGGGAAACAAAATTTCAAACATTATTCCCTTTTTTGTCCTTATTTGTTTCACCTAGCAGACAACACGCTCACTAAACTTTAAAAAATTGGCTTTACTTACGTTTCCTGAGTTATATATCTATTTATTATTGCTTCATCTACGAGCTAAACCATTTTACCGGGTCTAAAATTTAGCCACGCGCTTTCAAAATTGAATTTTGTTAAAATCAATAAAAAAATTTGCACTGAATATTTGTAACTAAAATCACATTTTAGATAAGATAAGTCACTTAAGTGACATCGGAGACATGGACCATCTCCAAGGCAGACGAAAACCTTCTGCTTATATTTGAACGAAGGATCCTGAAAGGAATATTTGGTGGCATCTGTGAAAATGGTGTTTGGAGGAGGAGATATAACTACGAGGTATGCCACAGATATAAACAAATATTTGGTGGTAAAGACGTAGTATCTCTTATAAGAATAGGAAGACTAAGAAGGGCAGGACATCTAGCAAGATAACAGCAGAACAACCCTCCTAGAAGAATCCTGATGTCATAACCCGTGGGAACTAGAAAAAGGGGTAGGCCAAAACTCAGATGGAAGGATGGTGTAGATGAGGATGGTAGAAAGATAGGCGCAGCAAACTGGCAACGGTTGGCAATGGATAGGACTGCCTGGTGTAATAGACTTGGGAAGGTCGAGGCTCTTTCATAGGGCTGTAGCACCATTGATGATGATGAAGTCACTTAAGTGAGACTTAAGTGGGAGAGTATAGCTATGATTAGGTTAACGTGTGAAAGAACATATTGTATCGTCAGTGGGCTAAATTGAAGCATACTTTTTGTAGATCACGTAACTTGAAATTAAACAAATACATTAAATTACAAGCAATATGGTGATAAACGAGACGGCTATCGTGCTTTATGTTTTAATGAAATATAATGAAATACCATTGAAGTATAGTAGCACCGATGTCGATTTAAAATATAATATTTGTACCATTTGAAAGGTAAGCAGTCATGTTAAAATTAACATGTTTCTTTCTTCGACTTCCGACAGTGTATGTTGTAGCACTAAGTATCTTGCATTGGGCCGAAGTAGCTTGCAACCACATCGGAAGAAAATGATTATGGGTGAAAAATGTTTTGTTTATTTACGATAAACATTATTAAATACTTAATTATTCTATTAGGAACCAGAATAAAACATGGTTTGATTGTTTTGTGCGTGTATGTAACATGTAATGTGTATATATTGTGTTGTTCCCATTTTTTGTTAAAAAAACTGATTAATAATAGTATTTTTTTTTTATTTCAGGGGTCCTGGACATGACCGCCACGGAGAACACCATCCGTTTTAGTGTCCATACCCTGGACAAAGCAACCAAAGCAAAAGTTACTTTAGAAAATTATTACAGTAATCTTATAGCCCAACATGTAGAACGAAAGCAGAGGTAAGATTAATTATTTTCAATCAAATAAAAATAAGTCTGTCAATTGCTTGTTTAAAAACTTTTTCAATATTTTCTCTATGTTTAGTAATACAAGAGATGATGGAGATGGTTTTAAGGGCACACCTTAACTGGCTCCCGAACTCTATAAAACCACTTTAATTTTACGAATTGGCTCCCAAACCCATACATGAACTGGCTCCCGGCCATTACCAAATTCCCAGATATTGAATTTTCTTCTGAATCTCGGATTTTGAGGAAAAGAGGTATAATATACACCAGAAATTAGAAATGCAGTCGTAAACAATTTATTTATTAAAGAAACTGCAACTTACAGACTATACAGGTTGATGCCTTCTTGACATATTTTTTGCAAACTCAAAAGCAGTTATACGTTTTTCTATCAAAGACGTATTTGATGTTCAATGAAATTTCTTTTAAGACGTATGGTTTTTGGTATACTCTTTTAGGGATACTACTACTTGTTACATTAATAAAGGTATGTATTTAAACATTTTTCCGAATCTCCAAAAATTGGAAAATGTTCGGATGGCAAGTATAAAGCAAAGAATTGAATGGAAACTCTCGCCTGCACTCGTCGATCTTTGTAGAGACGTACTATTTTCGGCCTACATGGTAGCAGGAAATTTGGCGTCTTCATCAATAACGTTCTCCTGCAAGAAATCTGTAAATTTTGGAACTGCTGGATGTCTGGGTAAGATTCCTTCAATATCAATCGCAAAACAATCGCCTACGTCTTCGGAGTCCAAAAAAGAAAGACTAAACACGTATTTTAAGTAACACGAGATGTGTGATTCTTTCAAATATTGCTATTTCATATAACACATCTTTTTACCTTCCGATATATGAAAGTGTCGTAATACTAAAGGAATGGTTTAACTTAGAATTCATAGTTATATTATCTTAATGAGTCATTAAGTAAAAATATTCTTAAAGATAATACAGAATCGAATTTATAAAAAAATATGAAATAGACATGTGACTCGTCAGTTTGGATTTAGAAAGACCTTAGGAATAAGAGAGACATTGTTTGCGATTCAAACACTCTTTCAAAAATGCCTCGATCGTCAGAAAAAAGTATTTCTCTGTTTCATCGACTACCAGAATGCCTTTGATAAAGACCAGCATGAAAAATTGTTTTATGAACTGCAGAAAAAAAGCTAGACGGAAAAATCTGGTGTTCGATAAGGCTGTGTCATGTCTCCATTGCTCTCTGAATGCATATTCAAACAAGATCCCCAGAACCAGACGACCAATGGAAATGGGGGAATAAATGTTTATTTTATTGGGAGAGTTATTACTTTAATCAATTACTGTAATTTAAAGCAATAAACATATCTGAATCTGAGTCTGAGAGAATAGATTTTCTACCTATCTGTATTAACTATCTGTTTACAATAATTTTAGAATTATTTTGAACTAGATACAATATATTCTCGATCAAATATCAGTCGTAGAAAAAGTTTAGTATGCAAAAACAACAATTTACGTTAAATATCATTGCAAAACATTCAATTTATGAGAATTAAATGATTCGTATATTATTCTCGACAAAGAAATTCAAATAAGCACTAGACGGCGCCGAAATTGATATAAGAATAAACAGTAAATATATTAACAATATCAAGTATGCAGACGATACCGTTCTGATAGCAGAAAAAATAGAACACAAACATTATAGAGTTATAGACAGAGTTAATAAATGCAAGTGAAGCAATGGGACTGACAATAAATCTTCAAAAAACTAGAGTAATGGTGATTATCAAATCCGATGAAAATTGTCGTTTTGGCCTAAATAACACTCAATTAAAACAAATTTACAAATTTAGATACCAGATATAGAGATACAAACACGAATAGAGTAGGCTAGGAACATGTACAATAAAATGTAAGCAAATTACCTATAACCGAAAACTAAGCTTAGACATCGGAATGAGTTATTAAATGCTACGTTTGGTATTCTTCTTAATACCATGAGACATTATCACAGAACGCATAGAATATCATAGACACATTACGGATTGAACAGTATTAAACACCATAAATAGAGAGTTAGATCTTGTAACAATGATTAAGAAAAGGAAGACCGCGCATATAGGTAACATAATGAGAAATGACATATAATCTGCTACAAATAATAATTCAAGGGAAGATAGAGGACTGAAGAGAAGTAGGTAAAAGAACCATGTCATGGCAACTAGTGTTTAACTTGGCGTTTTTCCCGTTCGCTTAACATTTCAGTAGCTTGCATTTTCTACGACTATATGATTAAGTACAAGCAGGAAACAAAATTCGGTAAACTAATTTGAAATAATTTTGCGGCGAAGGGTATACAAATTTAAAGAATGATAGAAAAATTTACCTAAATTTCCAAGAATTTCATCGGGGGCCAATTCAAGCCAAACTATAAGCTATCTCTAGATAGCTTATTACCTGTAAGCCAGAGCCAATTCATGTGCACCCTGTTTTAAAAAGCATCAAGAGATTGTGGAGACGAAAATTTGTCTTCTTCTTCTTTCAGTGCCCTGTCCGATTATCGAACGTTGGCGATCATATTGGCAATAATAACCTTATTCACGGCGGCTCTAAATAAATTAAAGGTGGTTTCTTGATACCATTCTCGGAGATTTCATAGCCAGGATGTTCTTCGTCGGCCTGGGCCTCTCCTTCCGTCGATCTTACCCTGTATTATGAGGTCTAGAAGGTTATACCTCTCTGGATGTCTCATTACATGACCGAAATATTGTAACTTCCGAATTTTTATCGTTTTTGTTATTTCTGTGCTCTTTTTTATTCGATGTAAAACTATTTCATTTCTTATTCGATCAACCCAACTTATCCGCAATACTCGTCGATAAATCCACATCTCAAAGGCCTCTAATTTTTTCATTAATGTCTCTGTAAGGGTCCAGCTCTCCATACCATACAGCAATGTGGAGAATATGTAGCAGCGTATTAATCTGATTTTAAGATTTAACGTAATATCTCTATTAATTAGAATTTTCTTTAATTTATAGAAGGCGGCTCTGGCTTTTTCAATGCGTATTCTTATTTCTTTATTTATATCCCAGTTATCGTTAACGTTTGCACCCAAGTAGGTAATATTGTGGACTTTTTCTAACTCTATTCCATACGCTCTGATGTTCGTTCGTTGTAACTCCGTTTTGCTGACAACCATAAATTTTGTCTTAGAAGTATTAAGTTTTAGCCCATATTCATCACATGCTTCGGTTACCCTATTTATAAGTCGTTGCAGGTCTTCTTCATTGGAGGCAATAAGTACCGTGTCGTCTGCATATCTGAGATTGTTGACATTAATTCCGTTGATTTTAATGCCTGTATCTTCAACTAAGACTTCTTTAAAATTCGAAAATTCGTCATAATGAGATTAAAGTAGAAATGTTAAAAAACATTTATTTTTCCTGCTTATTTGGTAGTATTGTCATAGAAATGCTGAAAAATAATACATATAATGATATGATAAGTCTTCATCGTTTTCTTTGATGTGTTCAGTCACAGTTCACCAAGAGACTATTCTTTCCCATTTACCATTCTTAATACTTTACTTCAAAAACTTTAAAGATAACTCTCGCATTATAGATCTGTAATGGTTTAATATTCTCCTCTATTTCCTACTATTCTTTGCTTGTAATAATATATGGTTTTCGGGCCAATGCGGCCATTGTCTAAGTGAGACTGATTACTAACGCATCGCCTTTTGGTAATGTATACGGAAGTCGCCGACCAAACGTCGAGAAGAAATATATCGAGACCATGGCATCTACGTCTGGAAACTAAAGTATTATTAGAAAATACGGATTAGGAAATCCTACTCTTTGTTATGCTTTGTTTACCCTTTTATCTTATCACTATTTAAACATAACCTGTAGATCATCACCTATTATTCTTTTTGTTTCCTGTGAAACTTTTTTTAGTACCTACTTTTATTTGATTGATTCCTTTTTTAAATTGAATCTGGTAAAAGTATTCCTAGCTAGTGGTACTCGTATCTTTATTTCTTCGTCGCAGTGCCACCTACTGTTGGAGCTACTTTAAACAGTAAGTATGACTGCGACGGAGAAGTGAACATACGAGTAGTAATAACTAGACATACTTTTGCCAGATTCAATAACTACTTTTGGGTCTCCGTGTTCTCGTTCTAAAATGCTATATATAAAGTAAGATCGCTAAATCGTATTAAAGCGTTCGAAATGTGGTGTCCCAGAAGGTTGCTTAGGTCGGTCATATTACAAATGAAGAGGTCTTAAGAATAGCTAATACCCCAAGATTGTACTATTGGAAGGTAAAGTACAGGGCAAAAGATCAGTTGGAAGAGGCCAGAGCTCGTAGCTGAAAGATCTGAGGATATGCTTTGACCTCTCATCCGCAGAAATCTTTTGTGTAGCAGTTTTCAAAGTTACATTTGCCATTTGGATCGCCAACCTTCGAAAGGAAACGGCACAATAAGAAGAAGAATCCTTGAGTAATTGTCGAAATTGTTGAAGCCAATAAAATTCTAGTTAATACGATTATTAGTTCTTAGGGTGGATACCTTTTAGCTATCCAGAAGCTTTACGGAGAACGATCTAGGGCTTAGAGGTGGGAAATTCTCACATATGATTGTGATTTATAATTGCTATTTGTAGAAAAACATATTTGTTCTTTTGTTAATTTCATTTTTTGAATGTCTATATCTACTACAAATTGCATATCTAATTCAATTTTATCTGTTTTAATTATATTGACAATTCAGATATATTAGACATATTGAAGTAGAGGACTATAGAAAACCAAGACAAACCAACAGATATCTAAATTATAATATAATCAAAACACAACACAATTATTAAAAAGAGAATCATTAAATTATTACATTGTAATAATTATACTCATTATACCCATAACTACCCTCTGAAGCTAACTAGCACTAGCACTAAGCTGTGATGGCATGGCACCTCGAGCTTTTCTTGAAATTGAACAGT